TTACTTTGTGAAATGAAGGAGAAATGTTGTAGTTCCATGTTTGATATTACCCCGCACCACAATAAAAAGATGATTTTCTAGATTTTACTGTTGTGCAACCGGAGGGCATCATAATGCCAAGTTTCTGTTTAATATTATAGTTTATCCGTGTTTTCTAAATTTTTTTAACTTTAAATTAATATTTTAAATTATTTTAATATAGTAATACAAAAATAAAATTTTTAAAAAATATAAAATATTATTTTAATATATTTTAAATAAAAAATAATTTTCGCAACACCCACAGTGATTCCCTAAATGTTAACTAAACCAACCTGGTGATGGCCTAACTAACTGTATAATGTTCTGTTCACAAAACAAAAATTCGGCTCTTACTACTTATCTTACACAATTCATGCTCATCCATGGTGAGAGAGGACTCCTCAGCTAAACAATCAGCCAACAGCAGAAGAAAATAGGAAATTCTTGGCAAACAAAAAAAATATTCAAGTGGTTGTTTTTGTATTTTAAAATTATTTTTAAAAGAATTTATAATTTTTTATTGATTTTTAATTCAAATTTATTTTTTAAAATTATTTTGATGTGGTGATAGTTATTTTTTAAAATTATTTTGATGTGATGATGGTCAAAAATAATTTTTTAAAAATAAAAATATCTATAAAAAAACACGTTATTACAGTATACGCTGCAAAGTAATTTGCAAGTGTCAAGACTCAAGAACATGAATTGGCAATCGTTATCAGATCCTCTCTGTTCCATTATTAGCTAGGAAGGTTCACAGGGTATGAAGTAATTCCTCAGTGCTAACAAGTCTGTTTTTATTTGAAAGGAAACTTCTTATCAACCAACCGTGTTCTTCTTGAAAGCTCCATTCATGTGGGCACGATTGGCAACATGTGGAACAGTAAATGCTTGAAGAATTATCACGGAGCTGGACGGCACAGAGACGCTTGACCACGAGCAGAACTGGATGCGTAAATTGATCATCAAATCCAACTAAGAATACATGGCTTTACAAATGGCAGGAGCTCCAGCCTTTCAGAGCTTTCAGCACTTTCTTCAATTCTTCAACGGATACCATGTCAGAATGGAAGTTGATGTCTGTTCCCAAAGCGGAGATTTGTGTATTTCTAGTCCAGTTGTTTGTTAACATTCTTACTGTGTATGCAGATGAATGAGCGGGAGATCTTTCTCAAGAACTGATGGACGAAGACCCACACCACAAACTATACGAGTATATGGATGAAGACGGCGTAGGATGGCCCAGCCTGTCACGCTGTAGTTGGGAGACTAAGCTCATTTGGACCCATTGTATTGTTATTTTATTTATTTAACCTAGTTGGGTCTGTTTATTGTTATCTTATTATTTATGTTAAACAGTTTGGGCCGAGCCCATTAGTGGAATGTTTTAGAATTTACTATTTATATGCTCTCTTGTCATTGTGAGAGTTAGTTTTGATAATTAATGAAAATTTACAGATTTTACATATCTCTAATTCTCTCTTTTTTTTTTTCTTTGCTTTCTCTTCTTAACTTCTCCTCTAAAAGCTTTTTTTTTTTCCGACTTTAATTCTTTTGGTTGTTGTTCGCATCAAGAACCCTCTTTAAAATCCTCTAGAGACTCGCTCTCATCACCCACTCTCCACTCGGCAAGGTTCTCAGGATCGTTCAGCTCTCCTTTGACCCATTCATTTGGAACTTTATTCTCTGGAACAAGATAATAAGCATGTTAAATAATTTCTGGGAACTTTATTCTCTTTGAGACCTGCTACATGAACCAAACTTGTGTGTGTTCAGGGGATTTTCAATTTCTGAGGTGAAATAAAGTGCCAATTAGGTATTCGTTTCTACTCAGTGCTCGCTACCTATTCTAGACCTTAAAATTTACTTTAAGCTAAATCAACCTGGTAATATTTCGAGTAAGATCTACTTTCGGCATACAGCAGACCATTTAACCAGCCAAACTAGCTACCAGTATCAAACTTGAACCAGTTCCTTTCTGAAATGTCAGCAATTAAACGGAGGTTTTACCATTAACTTTCCCTGAAGTGGAGGAAACATTGATAATTCATGGAGAATCACATAATCTGTGGGAGTGAACGAGGGCTTCCACCAATCCATTCTCTTGGCACCACACTAGTTTATTTCAGGCGTTCTTCAGATAACTCCTGTTATAGTCATTACTCCCCATAGTTGATTTGCACCGTAAGGCACCAACAGGAAGAAAGCTCCAAACCAGCGAAGAAGGAATGTTTTGAACTGAAATACCTTGCCAGTCTTAGCCCCCCTTGAGAAGTCTACGGGTATAACAAAACCAAAGCCATGGTTCCCAACTATCAAGGCCCCTCTGCTAATCTCTAGATGTGGGCACCAGTGAAATGCCATTAGAATCCAACAGCTTACATATAACAAATCCAATACCATTGTAGACTCCTGAAACAACCACAAGTTACAAATTCCTTGTTAATTTTGACTAATTTTATGCTATGTGATGCAATTCTTTATGGTTAGAGAAAATGGGACATTGAAGCTGAGTGGGAAGTCAATGTATTGATGACGAAGCTGTCTTACATGAGGTTAAAAAAGGTGAAGAAGATGACTAGAAGTTCTTAGCGAGGCGTCTTTCTTGAATATCAGAGTTTTTTTGCTAGACGTGCAAACTCAAATATGGTGGCTGCCTTCCTGTTGCCTTTTGCTCTGCAAGCCGACGGTTATTGGCCTCAGGGGATTACTATTTTGGCTGTTTGATATCGACCCAAGTAAATTCCTGACGAGCCTAAAATTCCTTGTCTCTTTCAGGAGCCTAGAATTCTGAGATGGAAGGCCTTTCCGAAGTTTCCAGGAGTTCTCCTGCAAGTGACTCGAGACTGCAGCAAAATTTCAGAGAAGGCCATGTTCTGGTTTTAAAGTCCTTTCTAATTTTGTCTTTCCTCGCTTTGTAGTTCTCGTGCAAGACCCTTCAGCAGCTTTAAATCTTAAGCCACGATATAGTTTCCTCAAAAATAATAATCTGATGTGTTATTTTTTATTCAGATTATTGAATTACATTTTTTTCATAGAAAGAACCGTAGTATTTATACGCACTGTAATGTTGCGTCATGAAAACAAGAATAAAGAACGGATCATAATTCTTAATAAAATAAATTATTGAGAAGTTTTATTAGCTATATAAACATGAACATTGTAGCTGACCATGTACGCCTGCTCTACTTATTATGATCTTGCAGAAGCCTCGACTTATTATGATCTTGCATAAGCCTGAAGCATTCATAGCTTGGAGGTTGCGGGCTTCATAAGATCCTTTCGGAGAATCTTGCAAGACGGCTTCTTGGGTATTGCAGCAATAAATGCAACTCTACGAATTCTTTTGCATGGAGCCACCTGGAAATAGCAGCTTCGTAATTTGAGAACAGAAGGAGCTGATTTGCACAAAATCATTTGATAAAAATAATCAGTTACAACCAATTGACCCCAAAATTAATATGTATTGTGATTAGAGCATATTACGAGTGATTATTTTCAGTTTTTTTTTTAAATTTTTATTTTAAAAAATAATCAAATTAAATTTTTTTTAAAATAAAATTAATTCAAACTGATCAATTTTAATTTAGTTTGATTCAATTATTTTACATCAAAAATCTAAACCCAACCGATTACCTTTTTTTTAAAGGTCAGTTTGATTTTTTTAAATATTTTAATTAATTTTCTCAGTTTATTAATTCTAAAAACTATTTTTATATGATTGGAAAAATCAACATTACGCACCATATACCACAGTGAAAAGCACACAGTTGATCATTGCAGCTACAGAAGATGGAAGAAAAAATAACCATAGTATTTCGGTTTAAGCTACAAAAAAATTTCAAATTTATTTACCTTCATCTCATAGAAAAATAAATGAAAAACATATATAATTTAGATAAGAAACTAATTTTTCCAGGCTTAAAAAATAAATCACGATTTCCATTATGATTGCATTAGGTTTGCTAAGGCAACAACACAAGAAGATAAACGAGGAAAAAGAGCATACACGAAGACATTTCAGTCTCCATGCTCACTGCTGGTAAAATTCCCAATCTCATAAAAGCATATAAATAGGAGTCGAGGTTAAACAATTACATGTGATAAATGGATATCTCTCCATTATGTCTTAATTGTTCATAAAATAATACATTCAATTGGGAATTTATATTTTGCGCTTCTTCTCATGGATAAAATACAAATGTGACACAGAGTTGAAACAAAATAATAGCCATGAGCTCAGGCTAAGAAGAGGGCTTTACACTGCTTTAATGTATCATCCGGGCTGGTAACTGCAGATAAAATAGCCATAAAATCGAAACTATTCAATACAGCTGCATTAACGTTTAAGCATACTTCAATAAAAATGGGAAATAAGACCATCCATTTAGATTAATTGCATCTGGAATGAGTTTTTTGCTTCACATGGCATTTGCATGTATCATAGTGACTTTGTATACGACAAAAAATGCAGCTAAATGTTATTGTTTGAATGCAGTAATGACAGCTGAAGCGTAAAGGTTTCCCCGGCCCCGGCCCCCCCAGACTTCACAATGTTACAGGTGAAGTCCAACTTTAGAGACCATTCTTTAATTCCCTACTCTCCCACGTGAATAAAAAAAACTATAACTCGTTTAGTTAACTACTATTTTAAGCTGTTTTGATTTTATTTATTCTGATGCTGCATCATATTGAAAATGAAACCTTGAGATGCCAGTAAATAGGTTGAAGATGAAATCTTTTTCTGACCTGTGTGACCCACAGTTCGTTCTGATTCATATATCTCATGATCGTTTCCCCCCTGCTCAAATAAAAAAATCCAATAAATCCAGGAATTCAATGATAAAGAATAATTATAGAATGCTACAATTAGAACCATCTCTCCAATTGCATATGGACATTAGAATGCCAGTGAAACAGTGAAAGCAACACAAGATATATGCAGGAGTGTGGACCAAGCCTGAATTTTCTGAGGTTAGTTTAAATTATAGAGAACAAGTATATTCTGTGGGAAATCACGAATATCTTCTGCTTTGAGGATATAACTAGATACAAAGAGTGAAAATCCATTTTTTTCCAAATCAATGCAACTCTTCCCGTACAATCCTCAGAAATTGTCATAATCAGTCCAGAATAACTCAAGACTAGCCCTTCAGCTTACAAATAGCAACAAGTCCAGACAGTTGCAACTCTAAACTATCAGACAATTATCCGTTAGATAATGAAACTCAGACTCTTTACACCAATTATTTGGTTATTCTTTGAGGTTGTCCTCTCAGTTGATGTTTCTCTTAACAAAATGACTAACATTAGCACCACAAATCCAATGAGCAATTCATAATTAGGGGGCCCTACAGTTGCAGGAATGATGCCCATCAACAAGTTATGTTTGAAACACAACATAATCTATAAAATATGATGTCCCAGCCAAAGGAAGGTTACTTTGAAGAAAACAAACACATTATTAGTGACTACAAATAATGTAAGTGTTGTTGATTTTCATTAATTAAAAACACAAAGCTAGAAATATGATAAGAGGATAACCTTGTACGTTTTGTCACCAAAGAAGTGAATTTCACTGAACTCGTCAAGGTATCTCAAACAGTATGTCTTGTCCCAGCCTTGAGGGAAAACCTGTAACAAGCATCTCGCACCAATAATGAATATGATGCCAATCTTCCAAACCCGCCTTCTGATTGTTGCATTCAAGAATCATCATAAGCTAGTTAACATAGCACTTACATCAAGGCTTATCTGACCTCCTATTGAGAATGTGAGGTTGAGGTGAGCGAACTTTTCACGCAGCACAGATACCATTTTCGAGCGAATGTTATGAACCTGAGGACTCAATTTGTTCAGTATTTCAACATTAACATCAACTATACAAAGAGTCCAGAATATGAACCCAATAGCTTCCAATAATATTTGTTTTGTTCAAATTCTAACCCAAGTCTTTTCTTACCTTGTCATACTTTTCAAATTCATCTCTTTCTTCTTGGCTGCAGTTCCGTCCAATTGGTGACACATTAAGCATCCCACTTCGTAATTCTATAAATGTTCCCCTTTAGAAATCATTGGAAAACTTGTATAAAAAAGAAGTCATTGGAAAACAGAAAGGTCTTATTGAGCATCTTTGCAATATTCAGCTGGATGAGCTTTTGAAAAAATTGGCTTTCAAGCTCTGAATTCACTCACCTTTTTATGGGGATATCCAAGTCAGCAATATAATGAAGTGTGAAGTTTATAAATTCCTGCAGATTCATTAAAAATCTATTAGAAAAAAAATCAATATAATTACTATGCCAAAACATCCCTTTTTTTAATTATCTCAATGGGATGCTAGTCTCCGTGCTGCAAGTCAGCATCCTCAGTGAAAAGACACTATTCCCTACACTATTCAATTTATCCTAGATGATCTTGTTCTTGTTGTAGTCTCAGACAAGTAATCTGCAAACATTAATGCTTTTACGAGTCACCTCTTTCAGAGCAAGCATTAATGCTTTTACGAGTCACCTCTTTCAGAACCCCACTTAAATGGATTCATCATTAAACAACACCATTTCTAGACAAGCAATCTTAGATTATTCTTGTATAATGAGCAAAAGATCTCACCTTGAGCTTCTCATCTCCGAGAAATGACTTCAAGCTCTGGAAAAGGAGAATTACACACAGTAATTTAAAAAAACAAGTTAACAAGTAACTGGCAGCTAGTATTTTAAGGAAAAAAGAAACAGATCTAATACTGAGCTCAAGTGTTTCAAATCTCCATCTCAAACTGTACCTGGGTGCCGATAAGCTTCCCATCTTTGTGAGCAACAAGCCCATTTTCAGAAAATACATAATCATAGTCGTTCATAACTGCAGAGACAAGAATACAACAATTACTGACTCCCCTTAAACTCCAGAAAAATAGCTTCAGAACCTTAGTAAGCTCAAACCTGTCTTTCCAAGCTGCCCTGATATCTTAGAGAGATCTGATCCACTCACCACTCCTATAGTAACAACCTGCATTTACCAATGCTCTTTAACTCTCCATCCCTGTACGAGGGCCAAAGACTCCATAAAAAAAAGAATAACCCGTTTTTTTAGTGCTAAAAATAAATATAATTAATACCTTTCGGAGTTCCTTGATGAACTCTAACATACTTGGGGTGGCTGCCTGGAATTTGAATGGAAGAAAAGTCAATTTCAATGGGTGAACTAATTTCATATTTATTCTTATTTTACGCTGACAATTTCTTTTTTAAGAAATTAATACCTTCCTTGGAGCAGTGAGAGTGTCATCAAGATCAAATAGAGCAATTAAACCAGGTTTTCTCACGGCCATTAAAGTCTCTGCAAATTATCCTGTCATCCAATTCACAAAGAGAAGAAAGTTCAAAACTTGAAAAATCAAATAAAAAGGTACGCTTGGAAGCATGTAATGCAAGCAGAGACTCGAATTAAAGAATGGAGGCTGCAACCAAACACAGAACGAGAGAGAGAGAGAGTAGAGTACCTTCAGCGAAACGAAGTAAAGACAGCGAGGAGTCAAAAGTGCGAGAGGTGGAATTTATGGCAGATGCATAGTGGTGCCAAAAATGAGTTTTGACTGATTTTAATTGCATGATGACAAAGGTTCTGAAAAATAGCTTTCATATAAGAAATAAATTTGATAAATTAAGAACCTTAATTAAATAATATTTTTATTTCTTCTTGACTTAAATTTAAAATTTGAATAATATATCAATTAATGAATAAATATAATTACTGATTTTCTAGACTTTATTGCTGAGCAACCCGTGATGTAAGCTTCTGTTTAATATTATAGTTTAGCAGTATTTTTTATTTTTTTATTTTTAAATTAATGTTTTTATATAATTTTAATATGTTATAAAAATAAATTCTTTCATGTTCAGTAAACCAGCCCGGTGATGGCCTGACGAATTAGGTGTATGGACTGTATGATGTTCTGTTCACAAAATAAAAATTTGACTTTTACTACTTATCTTACACAATTCCATGTTCATCCATGGTGAGAGAGGACTCCTCAGCTAAACAATCAGCCAGCAGCAGAAGAACATAAATTTAAAAAACAAACTTAGTCTCCATTGATATTTAAACTAACCTAAGAAAAAAACAACCTTAGTCTCCATTGATATTTAAACTAACCTAAGATTACTAACGTTAGGATAAAAAAGGAGTTGACATTAACAAGTGAACTTTTAAAATTACATGGCTATGAAATATGGCCAGACTCAGCTGCTTCCAAAACCCGAGTCACAAATCAAATAGATTAACTCGGTCACCTCCTAAATATTTGTTTTTAAAACCCAACTTAGGTCAAGATTATCGGGTTGACCTGTTGAGCTAACAGGGTTTAATAACTGTGCTCCGACCCCGTCCCCCTCCCCATCTGCAGACATTCTTGAAGCTTGCCAGAGCGCATTAGAGTGCAAATGCTTCTGATGATCTCTGCGTTGTTTACTTGCACAGATTTCCAGCAGACGTCATGCTTTTGACTTCTGCTATAGCTTTAGCAAATTATATCGATATGAACAAGAAAAACCATTAATTTCCTTCCAGTTTTTTGAAGAATCTTTGTCCTTTGACCTAGTAATTGTACGAAGTCATTATTAATGTTTCGGCAATCAGTGGTAGCATGATCTTTACAAAGTTTATTGAGTCTTCCATGGCCAGCCTTGTTCTATACTGATTGAATTACATCAAATTTGAACATGAAATTTAAGGAGGATACTTTTCTGAATGATAAAACAACAAATACAAAATAAACCTACTTAAGTATACAAGGGAAGAAAGAAAGAAAACTGTATGATTGCCTGAAGTTTTTTTTTTTGGGTGCAGAAGCCAAGAACCACCAATAAATTTACGGTAATCAATAACTAGAAGAATCCCTCACCATCTTGTTCTTTGGTAGCTCCCTTCTTGTTAAAGACCCATAAAATTTATCCTATTTACCTCCTCTTGTTCTTGCTGCCCAACAACAAAGCAAAATAAAAAAGAATCCTGAAGAAAAACCCCCAAGCAATAGTGACCCACAAGCAATTCCATTTGCTTATTTGTGTTATCCCTTGTTGCCTTAGAATATCTGTTCCTGTGACTACACAAGTGTTGCCTGTAATGTTCATGCCCAAAGTGTTGCTAATGCTCTTCAACATCTTCAATTTCAATGACAATGGCACCGCAGCAAGAGGTGTGGTATCAAACATTTGCACACCCCTAACAAAACACTTTGTTGGATCATGAAATTCATTTTGCAGAGCTGCCTCGTATGGATATTTCACCAGAGATATATAGTGAAACCATAACCAATACGATGGGACTCGGTCTCGAGAGATGAAGAATCCACTGAAGAGAAGAAAGTATGCCAAAATGGCAACCACAATGGTGAAACCCAGCATAACATGAGAGACAACACCTGAAAGGAAAGTAACAAACGAACTTCCAGCCCAAAATGCAGACAAGATTGCGAAGAAGTAGAAGCAGAACCCAGAAAACCCTCCGTCAAGTCCTACAGCCCAGAATGTCGTTGCAGCAAAGGCAATAGAAAGTATGATCAGAGAGGGAATTGAGATTAGAGAGTGAGCAAGAACGTATGAAGAGCGGCGATAAGCATTGTAGGCGGTTTCTCTCATGAAAATATAGCGTTCTTGGAGAAAGGCAGGGATAGATTCTGCACAGGTGTAGTAAGTAGTGGACATGGCGAAAGCAAAGAAGCCCAATCGCTCTTGCGCACCTCTGGGGGAGTTGTCAAGATGATAAAAAACGGTAGCCAAGATTATACCTGTAACAAGAACAGCACCAAGGCGAATTCCAAACAATTCAGGCATTCTTTTTGCATTGAGTAATGATCTTTTGCTTATAACCATCATTTCAGCCCAGAGTGGATTGGCAAAGGTTGGAACTGAGGATGTCAAGTTTGAATTATTTGGGGCACCGGAGACTAGTTTGCCTCTCGAAATGCTGGCACTTATTGCGTCCTTGAGTGAAAGCTTGGATCCGTTGCAGGTTCTGTTCGTGGGGTTTTTCTTGGTTTGCCATGACTTGTTGAATTCAACTAGGGTCTTGGTTCCATCAGGAGCTTCTTCAAGTTCACGAATCAAATCCAGCGCAAACTCAGTTCGGTTCTCGTTCTCAGGAATTGGATGTCCAAACTGACCAAAGAATTCTGGAAGACCTCCTGGGGAGCCACCATATACTGTCTGTCCATGTGAAAGAAAGATCAAGCTGTCGAGTACGGTCAAGATTCTGTAACTTGGTTGGTGCACGGACATGATCACAATGCTTCCGCTTCGCGCGATGCGCTGCAAAACCTTAACAACCATAAAAGCACTAGTTGAATCAAGCCCTGAAGTTGGCTCATCAAGAAACAAGAGAATCGGGTCATGAACAATGTCAGTTCCAATAGAAACTCTTCTTCTTTCACCTCCTGACACACCTCTATGTCCTTCATCTCCAATCACAGTATTGGCCGCATTACGCAAGCCTAACTGATCGATCAAGGCCTGAACTCTTGCTTTCTTTTTTGACCTGGAGAGGGAGCGGGGAAGCCTGAAATCGGCCGAGAACATCAGTGTCTCTTCCACAGTAAGCATAGGAAACAAAAGATCATCTTGCATCACATAAGCAGATATCACTTTCAATAGCCTTGACTCCAAGACCTCACCATTCAAAGTCACAGACCCTTTCAAGCTCTCCTTTGCAATTCGATCAGCAAGTGCATCAATCAATGTGGATTTTCCGGACCCGCTAGCCCCAAGAACAGCCATAATTTCCCCCTCTCTCGCTTCTCCTGATATATCATTCAACAAAACCTTCATGCTAGCTGTCTCTGAAGAAACATGTGGCAAGTCCTCCTTTCCACAGACTTGAAACGGCATATTTTGGCCAACTTTGACACTGTATGTTAAGTTGTTAAAAGAAAGAACAAAGGGGCTCGATGGTGGCATAGAGCTACAGGCATAGCCTAGCTCAAGGACTTGATGATGATGGACAGGAGTGCTGTCAATGGAGGTGTCGCTTTGCGCATCTTCTACACGCTTTAGGAGCTCACCAAGAGTAGGAGAAAGAGAAGGTTTGGATCTTCTAGGATATTGTTGGAGCTCCATTCGGTTGTTATGGTTAAAGAGTGGCAGGTTGTCACTGGGAAAAAAACCTTCTCCTTGTGACATGTTTGGAGGTCTTGAACCGGACATTTCTGAACGCTCGGTCTGTAGTTGCGCCACCCTTTTGCAGAAGATATATAGAGAGGGAGGGGTCAGGGGTTAGCATGTTTGGTGTATCAAGTGTCCAACCATGGTGTAGAGTATAAAGTAGGTGAGAAAAAAAAGTTGTATAGAGCAGCCAAAAGAAAAATAACTCAAGTGAATTGATTATACACACATGAGGCACCAAACCATACTATTTTATATCCTTATTAATTAATTATATATAATTTAATTAGCTGATCCAAGTAAATGTTTAAAGTCCAAAACCATATATAAAATCAATTGTTTTTGTTTTTATTAAACACCAAATCATGTCTTGTATTTTAATTTGAATAACTTAGATTTAATCTTACGACAAAACATAATAGAAAAGAACATAAAATACCTTAATCATCATTATCTACATATACTAAACTAGGATAATTTCTGTTTTCAATTTATATAAATGGAGAATCTCTAGTAAATAAATTCCTAAAAAAAAAAGATTTACTTCAACAACCAATTATTAATTTGATGGGAAGTCAAGATCAAGCAAAAACTCTCCTATCACGAATTGTTTCTTCTTGCTGCTAGCAATGTTCACTTTCTAGAAACTTTCGGGTTGGTTGCCAGCAAGATGATCCTAGTTTCAGAAGCAAATATATACATCAATTAAGACAAAAATGCTGCATCAACATCTTTTTGCCTATCTATGACAAGAAATCTCAATTTAATCAGTCGTATACAATTCATCATTTTGCATATTTGCTGACCTTTCTTTCTTTCTTTCTTCTCTCCGCTCCTCATTGCTTTAGACAATTTAGGCTCTTTGTGCAGCTGAGAGGTGAACCTACACTTCCTAATCCATTTTCTACACGTCTTCATTGCTTCACGAAACCCCCCCATCTATCGCAGTGATTCAACTTTTCTCACCACCTTACTCCAATCCCATGCATATTTTATATTACATCATTGGTCTTTCACGGGAGTGTTAGGTGAGGATGTTATATCTACTGTGAACTCCTCAAGTGCCGAAGAGATTGAAGAACTGTCTAAACATCGAGATGAAAGCGATGCATTCTTCGTCCCATGTATATATCTTTATTGTTTGTGGGCCTGATCCGAATGTTTAACGTATAGCTGTCAAGGCTGATTTTAGTCCCATCTCGACCACCTACACAAGTCACAGAGTCAATCTATGGATCATTTCATCTATCCATAAATTAGGTTTCCCCTCCTATTTTTTCACTATACATTAAAATATTTAAATAAAAGTCAAAGATTTTTAATTTCTTACATGTTAAGCTTCGATAGAATCAATCCATCAACTCAAATTTAATAAGTTGTAGATTTTTATAGGATCAACTCGTTGAACAACCGCGATGATGGTTTCGCATGAACAAGTGGGTTTTGCAAAACAAAATTCAAGAGTAAATAAATACTATGGATTGTCTGTTCCACATGCTACAGTAACCAATAAAATCAACCATCAAAATATCAATAGATACAAGAAAACTACGTCCACCATGTCAAATTATATAATGGATAATAATATCCTGATTGCGCTGAGAGCTATATCCAAACTCTGCATGCAAGAAAATCAACAAATCATTCATAGGTTCACCAAATTCATATCGGGCAATAGGCAAAGTGAACAATGGTTAAATTAAGTACCAAAAACAGCAATTATTCATCAGACACATCTTGAATTTTAT